TGAATTCCATCAGCTAAGTTCCCAATGTGGCACCCATGTCACTACAGGATGGCTCACCATCACGGTGCACTTTGCACCGTTGATATTCGATGGTTGGAAGCAATCAGCAGGAAGCCTTACCGGGACCTACCTAGGTGGTGTAATAAGGTGAGCAATATTGAGGTTAGGCGTCGAGTGCTAGGTAAGGCGGGGAAATCGGTCGACGAGACTGTGAAATTACATTGACTGAGATAGTTAAGACATGTGTTCCGTATGCCTAGTCATCGCCTTCCTCGATGACGGGCAGTGTTAGCTGAAATAGGGTCAGGCTGGAAAAGAGCTAGCGGCGGTCAAACGAAAATATGGCACCAGTCAATGAAATCCACAACAGTTAGTCTAAGCCACGTATGAAGGTGTAGACTTCCTGACTGGTTGGGGTCCTCGGTAAAAACCAATGGCTGGAAACAATTGGTGACATGGCTCAAAATCGTTCTCAATGGCTAGCGCAGATGCATCCACTCCTTGTGACTTATGATTTCCGATTAAACTGTTTTGTTCTTCGTTATTACTATTCCTTTGTCTCACACCTCTGTTTACTGTTTCTATTATGCATTTCTTCTACTATTGCTTTGTGTGCTACAAGGAGGGAGTGTGGCGACTTGAACTGCCGCACATATGTGCAAAGTTCTATGTCGAAAACCGACCGACCGACCGACCTAGGTTTCGTGCTAGTTAGCACTCACCACCACCATTTAGCAAGGCGTATCTGCAACCTTGGAGGAACTCATATGCCTTCTGAGATTCGAACCCGCGTCACCATCTAGTGTCGCCTGCAATCTGAGACGTTGCCACTGAGCTATTCAGCGTAGCGCGATTGACCACCTCTTGTAAGACTGTATTGGATATCTTTTTGATTGGACGCTAGTCAGTAACTAGTGTAATGTGTGTGCGTGTGTAGTCTCTGATTGCAGCACTGGGTGACGTGGGTTCGATTCTCAGAAGGGATATGGACTCCTGACTGACTGGTGAGAGTGCCAACTAGCACGAAACCTAGTTAGGTCCCGGCAAAGCTTCCTGTGGCCGATTGCCTCCAACCATCTAATAAAATTAGAAAATGCATAAGATCATGAGATTTCTTGTTTTTTGTAACAAAATAATTTTAATCAGTGATTGGTTGTTCATTGTTTTTGTCTGTGTGTGTGTGTGTGTGTGTGCGTGTGGCTAAATGTCAGAAATTCACTCATTTGACAGCGTAAAGCTTTTTTGTTCAGTAATCTATAATATACACGTATTGGTTTTAGTGTTAAACACTTTCAGGTCATTTCAGGTCAATTATTATAAAATCAAAGGAGGTTTCTCTGATTGATTTATTTTCTTTTCTGTATAACACTAGTGCGAATTTGATAGTATCATTGTCGGAATGGTTATTTATAGGTAAGGGAAAAAATTGATTGATGATTGAAGTCGCATCGGCGCCCTGGAAAATGGTAGTCTTCAGAGGTCAATCTACAGAAAGCCGACACTAAATGAATGGGCAATACTTGCATTTTAATAGTTTTTGTCCAAATAGCTTGCTATAAAAGAACACTAGTCAAGACTCCTGTTCTACGGAGTCAGTCAGGAGAATATGCTCTACAGACAAATTAGAGGAAGAATTTCTGATTCTCGAAAAGATGTTGGAAAACAACGGTTACGCTCAGAGATTCATTAACAAGTACGGAAGATGTGATGGCTGTAATGCCTGACAAATCACAGTGGGAAAGAAGCCTGTCTTCATTTAACTTGATTTCAAAGGTGATAATATTACGGGAATAATCAATAGAAGATTGAATATATCATAAGCCAGAGCCTATGCTGCAGCGAGTTAAGTTGGTTCCCGTTCATCGGACAACATGATCTTTGGTGCAATCAAAAGTCGACAAATACCCTTCTCATGTTAACTCCAACTGTGTATACAAATTTACATGTATCTGTGAGAGCAGTTACACTGGGAGAACAGGAAGAAGAAAGGCACACACACAGTTCCGATTTTCTTAACATGTACCAAAACGCCTACGTCTCCAATTGGGGGGAACAAATGCTTTGAACAGTGCCATTGCCGATCATCTCCTTGACACGAGTCATGAGGTGGACGTTGCAAGATCCTTCAAAATTATCAATAGGCAGAAGAGTTGAATTCTCATCAAGTTTGCCGAAGCAATCTCCATCAAGCGCCTGACACTCGATTCATGTGTTGACAAAGAGGCGGTTATCAGTCTTTGCTTTCCCTTACTGATAACTAAATGTTTTCATCTGATTACGTAATGCTAAGGTTTCCACTGTTCGCGATTATTATTGTTTGGGATAAAGTGATTATTATTATTACCATTGTATGCATATATTGGTTTTTTGTTCAAAAATGAACTCCCTGTGTATGTAAGTGTGTTAAAATTGTTTCTGTACATAAACGTGATAATGTATTTAGGCTGTAAGCAAGCAGTTGATGAGAAAGCGACGAAATAAACAAAGGATGATACCCTCTTGTATTTTGCACAAACCATCACTGTTGTTCTTGCTTTATTCAAATCCATTTTCTTTGGTGGTTTTGTCTTCACAGCTTTTCGAGGTAATCGTAATTATAAAATCGATTTTTATGTAGGTAACGTCTTTTGAATCTATGTTTTCTTTCAGCCTAAGTTCCACTAACACTTGAACCTTTTTGGTTTTTAATATTTACCTTCATACCATTACCTAACTGGGTTGTTGACTTGGAAGACTTTAATCAATATAGTTTATCAGTCGAAGTAGGATTAGATTAGAAGGATACACGGAATCAAACTATGAAGTCATCAAATATTGGACTGTGTGATAAGTAATATTTCTCTTATCTGGGATCTGTGAGACAAGTGGAACTAATAAAGCCTGTCGATGAAATATTATTATATAATTGTTTCCTTTAGTTCCTAGAGGCATATAGGGCTTCAGCCGCCCATGACCCATTGCGTTCGGTTCTCCGCCAACGTTTTCATCACCTGGCTCCACGTCTACCCACATGCTTTCATCTCCTCTTCACATCACCTCCTACATGTCACCCTTGCACTGACAACCCACTCACCGCTTCCCATTCATTTTCCACTCGAGAGATGGCCTGGCGTGTGATGTCACTCACTTGATGGTTTGTTTTCTCAGACTATGGCCTCCAATCCACCTCCATTTCTTCCTGCACACCTTCCTGTTGCACAATTGGTTCCTATAGGGTTGGTTCGCTGATTGCCAGAGATCCCCCTGTTGCTGATATTTTCTGGCCGGCCATCTGATCTTGAGCGAAGAAAGCTGTTGATGAAGGTCTGTAGTTTGTTCAAAGTGACCTTCGTGACGCAGCATGGCACGAAGTCTCTGATCCGTATAGTAGCACTGACTTCATATTAGAGTTGAAAATCCGGATGTTATTTTTCATGCTGAGTAGTGCTGTTGATCCTCCTCACACAGACATGAGAGTAATGAAAGCTTGCCTTGCTTTCTTGATCCTCGCTTCGATATATCCTCATCATTTCCTTCCTCCTGTAGTTGAAACAATGCTTCCCAGTTAGGTAGATATAAGAGATTGTTTCTCTCAGATTTCTTCCATTTATGCTGATTGTTGTCTGTTGTTGTCGTTGTCGCTGTTGGCCAGGAATCTTCATCACCTACCTCTGTTTTCCCTATGTTCACCTGAAGGCCTATTTTTAATGCTTCTTCTGATATAGCCTAGAATCAATCGTGGTAAAGTCAGGTACAACTTATATCACTATCCTGATAACACTATTAAACTCACCGTTCACATTTCTTATTACATTTCACTTTTATTCTTATATTACTTCGTCTCCTTTTATTTCTATGTACTTGATGTATAAACGCGATGTATTAGAGTAATGAATTGGATGTTAGTTAGTAACTCGTATAATGTGTCTAGTCCTTTGTCTACTTACTGCAGACTGAATTCTATCAGTCAACTTTGCAATGTGACCACCATACCACTAGATGGCTCGCCATCACGGTGCACTTTGAATTGTTGATATTCGATAGTTGGAGGCAATCGGCCACAGGAAGCCTTGCCGGGACCTACCTAGGTTTCGTGCTAGTTGTCACTCACCACCACCATTCAGCAAGGCGGCGTATCTGCAACTCATGTCTTATCTGAAATTCGAATCCGCATCACTTAGTGCCGCCTGCCTCCAACCATCTAATATTACATAGTTGGGTTCCTTGTTTATTGACAATACTTGCCCACTGGAATTATGTTATCTAGGTTTCCCAAATATTTTAGAATATGAAACACTCTTAATAATCAAGTAAGCGTCAAGTAAACACCAAAAGGTTAACAGGATTTTCATCATGAGCTGACATTAGTTAGAGAACCATTGGAAAACTAGCTGGGAGTACTGGACAGCTGTTTCGTCAGCCTAGTTTGGGACTATTCAGCAGTACGCACCCACCAGGATTCGAACCCAGGACCTTCTGGTTACAAGGCTAGCGAGCTCGTAGACCATTAAGCCACTGGGACTTGATCCAGTGGTCATTGCATGAATTCTAACTTCTGTTAATTCACGACATAGCGCGACCCCTAGCCAATGTCTTCAGCGAGTATTCGTCCTCACACCCGACCTGCTGCACCCTACTGGTCACGACTTCTCACTACCTACCTGAATAGGGCAAGTCGCTAGTGAGCATCTCATTGATATTCAAGTGTTGGTTTGTAGGGGCCATTGGATTGGGTCCCAGTGGCCCAATTGTCGACGAGCTCGCCTTGTAACCAGAAGGTCCTGCGTTCGAACCTCATAGTGTGGGTGCGAACTGATGAAGAGTCCTAAACTAGGCTGACGAAACAGCTGTCCAGTACTCCCAGCTAGTTTTCCAATGGTTCTCTAACTAATGTCAGCTCATGATGAAAATCCTGCTAACCAATCAAATCCCTACAAACCAACACTTAAATACCAAAAGGGTTCGCACAGCTTACGCATTTTAAATAGTTCAGAAACACACACATAAAAGCATACACTTACCTTTCTTCTAATTCCCGATACTTTTCATCTATTCTCTCAGATACTTTACGATTATCATTATCATTGTCTACTGAGTCTAGTGAATTATAACGATCCAGAATTAATCGATGTTTTGACATTTTATCATGAATATCCCTCAATGAATGACGCATATTCTTGAAACTTTCAGCACTTGGTAATTCATAGTCCAAAATACCTTCTAAACGTTCCTATTAAAAATTCAATATACATATTTTGAAGGTTAGATTATCAATTGACAACAAAACATATATTATAAAGTGATTATGGCTACCCAGAAAGATTTATCACAAAATCAATGAAATCCAGACTAGAGAAGCCGCCCACACCCAGTGCTCCAAAAAGACTTCTCTATATGAACCTACAGTTCAATGGAGACCAATCTACAGAAATACTGAGAAATCGGCTCTCCCGCTCATTGAAGAAATCCTTCTTTGCAGCTGAATTACGACTGACGTTCTCCACGAGACCAGTGATTCGCATAAACGTGAAGGATAAGCTACCTCATCTATGTGCATCTACCAATTCACCTGCTCGTGTGGAGCCAAGTATATCGGCCGTACTCAGCGTTCGCTATCCAAACATGTCAACGAACATTTACCTTCATGGTTTTATAAAGGAGATAACCAATGCCCCCTCAGCTCGATCCTTGAACATTTCATCGACTCTGGACACCAAGTCAAACCAGAAATAAACTTCAAAGTTATCTACAGAATACAAGGCAATCTTGCTAAAAGTGTACGGATCAAACTTCTTCACATCGCAGAAGCAATGGAAATTCATCTGCTAAACCCTGAACTCTGCATACAAAAGAAATTCGTTCATTCATTAAATCTACAATAGACGTAATCTTTCTTAATTTCAGTCTTACTAATTGTATTATTTTGTCTTTTGCATTTTATTATTTCACATCTTCATTTGTATTATTCCCTACCCCACCCTTTTGTAATCTCTAGCCTCATTAACAGTGTTGCTAACTCGACCCACGTCCAACTTCTAGTCAACTATGTTACGTCATCCGATTAACTTACTTAATTTTCAACTGTATTATTCTCTACCCTCACCCTTATTTAATTTTAACCACCACTCATTAACACTGTTGCCAACCTGACCTACTCTGAATTCTACTCAATTGTATTACGTCATCCAATTCACTTAATCAATTTTATTTTATTTTCTATCTAATTAACGTTTGTTTCCAGGCCAAATAATACTTATATTACGTAATTATCTAAACTTTATAAATCTAATGTACACACACACAAACAAAATTGTATATAAATGCGATTGTACAGCTCAGTGAATGAATTCGCCGAAAAGAGTCTCTTCTCTGAACGCCTTCTTTTCTTTTATATGAAAGTTCAATTAATTTTTCCTGAAATTTTACTGATAAAAGTAGACTTTGCATCACAAATTGAAATCGGTTACAGGAATTAATTGCAAACTGCAAAGCGTTAAACAATATAATTTCGCAGCATTTGTAGCCCTAATACTATGGAAGAGGAGCTTAACACTCTGGAGAGAATCCTCGTGGAAAATGGCTACCTAGAACGTTTCATCACAAAATCTATGAAACCTAAACCGCCCACAATTTCTGCTTCTAAAATACTTCTCTACCTGAATTTACAATTCAGTGGAAACTTAACGGCAGAAATCCTGAGAAACCGCCTGTTCCCGTCACTGAAGAAAACTTTCTTCGCGGCTGAACTCCTACTAACCTTCTCTACGAAACCAATGAACATGAAGCATAAGCTACCACTGATATAAGAATAAAACTTGTGCAATGTGGTAGAGTGTAATTCCATTATGGGTAAAATTTGTTTTGATAAAGTCTCACAGTGTTATACAGTAATGTTTACTGATGACGTTTCGAGCACAATTTATCGCTCATAATCATATCAAGGCATTACTCACACAACTTTCTAACTTCGTTTATATAATTCCATTATTTTTCATTGCTTGACTTGATTATTGGTAGTAGTATTTTCCATATCTCTGGTATTAGTGATGAGTCATTCCTGTTGCATGTTTGGGTGTAGACTCGATGAACAAGGATTCAATAATCAACCTCTCTCTCCTCCCCTATTGTGTGGTTGTGTGATAATGCAGGCATGCAGTGCAATTGCTGAGCTTCTTTTTTTCTAAATTACTTATCTTCTCGGGGTCAACCATTCTAACCTTAGCCAAATTCTTAAGTCCGATAATCTGACTACTCCCTGACCTACCGACTTGTTTGACCTATATAGTTGACCTCACTCACAGTCATTGCAGGGTATTTTGTAAATTATATTATTTTGTCTAATTGTGTCAACCGTCAGGGTCCTTTAACCTACAGAGCTTGTCTCTGCCTTAGTGAGTTTGTAGGTTTAAATGCCACCCTAATTCCTGCTTTATTAAGAATCCTACGTAGGGAGGGTCTCTGATGTCCCCTCTTTATATGGTATAACAGTAGATGACTTATATTCTCTCTTATTTATGTTATTATTACTAGTTTCACAATTATTTTTATTTTGGCCTTTTTCGATCTTCCTATCCTATAAAATTCATTAGGAAGATATGATTATGATATGAATTATGAGCAATAAATTGTGCTCGAAGCATCATCAGTAAACATTACTGTATAACACTGTGAGACTTTATCAAAACAAATTTTACACATAATGAAATAAGCTACCACTGTTGGCTGGACTCATCAGTGTGCATCTATCAATTCACCTGCTCGTGCGGAACTAGCTAAGTATGTTGGCTGCACTCAGAGTTTGATATCCAAACGTATTATCGAACAATTACCCCCACCACCAACACCACAGCTCTGTCCTGGAACACCTCATCGAATCTGGACTCACAAAGGAACGACTTCAGAGTCATCTACAGAATACGTGGGAATCTTGCTAAAAGAGTACGAATCAAACTTCTTGAAACTGTAGAAGCATAGGGCAATTCACATGTTAAAACCTGAACTGTGCATACAAAAGAAGTTTGTTCAGTCATTAAATCTACAATGGACATGACCTATCTTCACACCATATACGTGATTTTTTGTTTCGTCTTTTTCTTGCTTGTTTATTTCTAAATTGTTTAATGCTTTCTTACACCCACCCCTTAATAAATCTCTACCCCTTATCACTAATTTTGTTAACTTGACTTTTGTTCAATTTTAATTTTATTTGAACTCTACTCAACCGTGTTGATTAGATTACGTCAAGAAATTTGTTATCTAGAAAAATTTACAATAGTAATGAAAAATCTTGGGAAATATTCCTTTTGTAGTTAAGACAATTTACTGTTTATGGATATATTTGCGATTTTACAGCTTGAGAGTGATATCGTCGAAAAGAGGAGTTTAACTCTTGGCTGAACTTATTTCCCATCTAATTGTAATGGATTAATAACACTCGTACTATTATTTCTGAATGTACATTATCTCATATTGAATTTTATTCCAATATCTAATCGATTTCACACATGTATATAAATGAAGGAAAGAAGTTGTGTGAGTAACTTGGTATGATTATGAGCAATAGTTTGTGTTCGAAACGTCACCAGTTAATATAACTGTACAACACTGTGTGATTTATCAAAATAAAATCCTATCCATTTAGGAGTTATACTCTACCACAGTGCCCAAGTTTTATACTTATATCAATGGACGCCTTTTCTTTTATAAATTCGTCTCTTTGGTATTTGATTATGGAGATTTTACCATTATTTGGAAAGTTTTCAGACGCTTGGGTATTCATTCAAATGAATTTTCAATTAGGCAACCAGTGGAAATAACTCACATATGAAGAAGAAGAAATACCATTCATAAACCAACTGAAAGAATCTACCAAGGAGACCAACAGAACAATTACTCAGTAAAATGCTGCTAATTCAAAAGGTTACGAAAACACAATCAACATAAATGGAGAAATCTGAAAGAAGCAACCTCCTTTAACTACCTACCTACCTACCTAACTACCTGGAAAGCATCGTTTCAACTACAGGTGGACGGAAGTGATAAGAATATCAAAGCAGCGAGGATCGGGAAAGCAAGGCAAGCTTTCATTACTCTCAAGTTCGTGTGAAGGAGATCAACAGCACTACTCAGCAGGAAAAATAAGATCCGGATTTTCAACTCCAATGTGAAGTCAATGCTACTTATTATAAGGATCAGAGACTTGCCGCCGAGTCACGAAAGGCACCTCAAACAAACTACAGACCTTCATAAACAGCTGTCTTCGCTCAGTACTACTCAAGATCAGATGGCCAGCCAGAAAAATTAGCAACAGGGTGGGATCTCTGTCAATGAGCGAACCAACCAACTTAGCAGGAACCAATTGTGCAACAGGAAGGTGTGCAGGAAGAAATGGAGGTGGATTGGCTGGCCATACTCTGAGAAAACAAATCATCAAGTGAGTGACATCAAACGCCAGGCCATCGCTTGAGTGGAACCAGAATGGGAAGTGGCGAGTTGGTTGTCAGTGCTAGGGTGACATGTAGGAGGTGATGTGAAGAAGAGATGAAAGCATGTGGGCAGACGTGGAGTCAGTTGGAAACGTTGTCAGAGAACCGAACACGATGGAGATGTGCGGCTGAAACCCTATATTCCTCTAGGAATTAAACGAAACAATAATAATAGTTATACAACTGGCAGACAAGTCTCAATTGCTAATGAAGTTAGCGCTGAAGATGTCGCCATGCATGTTGATGAGACGTCTACAATCAGATACCATCCCACACCGAAAGTATATATATATATACATATATATACTATGACACAAAACAGACAAACCTCTACTCTTCTCATCTTTTGTCTTGCCGTTTCAGTTGAACTTGACTCTCTCAATTTCCCGTTGACTGGCGGTAGTATATCCAGCTATTGATACGATATAAAAAAAGAAAAATTTGACCAATTATAATATTACAGAGATGTAATCATTGTAACTGTAATTATTGTAACACTCAATTATAGTAGCATTAACCCAGTTACACACAAAAACAAAAATGTGTGCAGACATTGTTTAAAAGAGTTCAAACACACAGTAGTACCCCAGTGTTTGTTGAAGAGAATAGAAGAAAAATACCTACTAACCGTCTTTAAAAGCAATGCATATCCTCACAATTTTATCGAAAAGTGTTTAAAATCGAGTCATAAAACCAACAACAAGCCATCATCAAAGACTACAAGAAAATTCATTCTACCATATTTAAAAGAATTTTTTGAAATAACAGCTAGAATATTAAGACCATTTCAAACAGACATAGTACACAAGCCAGTCAAATCACTTCATTAGAATCAAAGGATCCAACAGAAAAAGAATATTTAATTAATACCATTTACAAAATAAATTGCGTGTATGAAATGTAACAGATATTATATCGGTCAAAATGGGTGTCCTTTTCTAAGCAGAATCCAAAATCACAAATTAGCTGTGAAAAGGCATGATATATATTCTTTCATATCAATGCAGATAGATAATTATGGTCATCAGTTTGACTGGGATAATGTCGAAATTGTAAACAGAGGAAACACCAAAAGTGCCAGAGAATTCCTAGAAGCCTGGTATTCAAGCGAATCACCGGTTAACAAACATGTTAATATAGACCAAATCTACCAACTAATAAAAAGTAAATCACATGACAAGAAAGTTAAAAATCCAAGTCAATAAAAAATGATCAGTACATATATAAATCGACTACTAGTCACGAAGATGGTTACCAGGAGACACAATTCTATCATTCATAGAAAATTTAAATCAGTTCATTTTATGCTAAAACTTGCACTGAAGTAAGATGTCCAGAAGGACAGTTGAACCAACCACCTGAGAAAAAAATCTTCTCTGTTATGTAATCATTGTCAATTTCTTTATTTAAATACATGTGTTCGAACCCCAGTGGGTGCTTTCTACCGGTGATTCCTTAACTAGGATGAAACAGCTTGCTGTCCTGTACTCCAGTGCTGGTTTCCAATGGTTCTCTAAGTGATATCAATACGTGATCAGTTCGTTAAATACATGAGACAAAACTCTCACACTGGTATTGTTTCTTACTTATTATTATCATTGTATTCTTTAATGGCTTATTGTTAACGATGTAGTGAAATATTTGGTGGATTTCAACAAATGGAAAAAGTTTCACAGAGGCAGATATGCTTTATGTTAAATGAGTATGTATATGTATGAGATACGTGTAGGTTTTGTACGGTCGTGTAAGGCATCCCTGGAAGTTGGGTGATTACTTTGATATAAATATGAACAACAAACTAATACAACTAAGACGTCATCCTCCATCCAACAAATAATGCTGTGCCACTACCAACCACTGTGTGCCAAGTTGAAGGAATATACTAACACGAAATGAATCTATACGGCAATGCTAGATTTTTTTCTTTCATAAAGTATCTCCACATTGACGCCATGGCTGCTAGTCCGTCGGTGGTCTAGTGGTAGAATGTTTGCCAACGACGCCTCACATGGTCCAAGGTTCGATTCCCAGCAGACGCACTCTCGGTAGTAAGTTAGGTAAAGAGGGAAGGTTGGGCGTGAGGTTAGTAACCCCAACCCCATAAAAATACAACCACTACTACTGAATTTTCACAGCTCACGGCTTGATGCCTTACGTTCCACTGGGGACTTCAAAGGAATAAAACAAAAATAAATAAATACACATTGACGCAAGCATTTCATTTCAACCAACAACCGGTAACATTCAACAGTCCCTGATTATTTTTTCAGTACACTTGAATAGTGAAATATGCAGTTGGGGAGAAAATTATTACCATTATTACTATTTCATACATTTATTCCCACATTTAATGAATTAGACTAAAGCAAGAACAACAGTGGCGGTTTGTGCAGAATAAGCTGAGATGGTATCATCATTGTTTATTTCGTTGACTTCTCATCAGCCCCGCGTACAGCCAAATGAAATTGACTAATTAAGTCTATGGGGTGAACAGTTTTAGCATACTTATGACGTAAGGGGGAGAGAAGTACGTAATAAAGAAGTAAAGGTGAATTAGACGATAATGAGTGACTAATAAAATTGAGTCACCAACTGTGGGAACAAACCAACCAAGAGTCAATCGCTCAAAAATATGTAGGAGAAAATCGGGATGGATCCGGCATACATTGAGGAAACCGTCGAATGACATCGCGCGATAGCCTGGCCAACGGTCAATTAGAATTCGAATGAGAAGCGACGAGTGGGTCGTCCCTACGAGGGTGACATGGAGGAGATCGTGTGGCCATGAGGAGGAGATTAGAGATTTCGGGCAATCGTGGACCCAGCTGAAGAGGATAGCAGAAAATAGAACAAACTGGAGATGTGTTGTTGAAGCCAGCCCTACGTTCCACTCGGAACCTAAGGGAGAAATAATAATAAGAATAGCTTATCTCTCAAACACATTTTACTAAAGTTTTTCACTTAGACATTTTAAACTGTTCTGCATAATAATAATAATAATAACAATAATTTGCTTTATTCCAAAACAGTACTTGTGATACAGAATGGAATTCTCAGCATTTTACTACAGTATTGCATCCAGTTAGTACATTAACAATAAATAAAATTCTACATAGATTATGGGTAGTCTCAGTTAATTTTGACAACAATATATTAGCATATCGGTAGCAAAGCCAAAAGTGAACAGAATGTTTGAAGGTGTTGGAAAAGTAGATACTAGCATACTTATTGGAGTAAGGGGATGAAAGAAACAAAGCAGCACATAACAGAAAAAAGAGAGAGAGAAAAGAAAAGAAAGAAAGAAAACGTTGTGCCTATAAATGATATGAGTAGGAAAGACGAGGTCCAGTTGTTCTACTGACTATTTAATGAATTACAGGTGTCACGCCTGATGCTTTCTTTATCGCACAGAACACGAGCTAAGTAGGTTATGGTTGAGTTTTTGTACTTGCTAGTGCGAGCATATAGTTTTCTATATAGGCTTCTGGTTTTGTCTGATGAACTACAAGGGGATAGTTGTGAATGAAGAGGGCGGTGTGAGTTAGATAAATTGGATTTAGCCCATTTTTCACATGAGTCCAAGTGCCTGTCAACCAAAATATTAACAAGCTGGTTAAATGGCACGTTGCTTACCCTGCTGACAACTTTTAACATCCTACATTATAATATATAGTATTTCTTCAGTAGTCCGAGAAAAACTAAGGGGGAACAATACAGACTAATAGGCAGGATGCAAGAGTTAACGAATTATAGGAGTAAGGGTTGGGTTATTCCAGAATGTCTTGACTTCTTGATGTAGAAGGTAAGACGGAATATTTTCTTAGAAATCATCAAGATATGAGACGACCAGGAAAGATCAGCAGATAGAATGACGCCAAGATATTTAATTCCTAACTTGGTTTCTATTTCAGTGCCATCTATGTTGCACACCTCGTGAGAGCTAACCAGTTTGTTTAGGTCGGATTTATGCCTAAAAGTGAAATTGACTGTTTGGCATTTGGAGGGGTTTAGAGTAAGACCATTTTCCTTGGACCACTGGGTGATTTCTGACAGAAAGCCATTAAGTTTAGAGCAATAACTTTGACATTTGACAGGCAAAGATACAGTCAGGTCGTCAGCATATTTGACTAAATTAATGTCATTTGAAGATGGTAAGTCATGTAGAAAGGAAGAAAAGAGAAGTGAGGAGAGTACAGCACCTTGGGGGACACCAGTTTCAGTGAGCACAGCAGAGGAGGATTTACCTTTGTATACAGTGTACTGCATTCTGTAGTCGGACAAATGCACAATGAATGTTGTACATTTTGTTGTGCATGCAAAAAATCCATATATAATACAACATAAACATCGTATATGAAGTGAATCAATAATTACGGGTGGAATGAATACATTCTTACAATGAGAGATAAGTTACAACTTGTCTATAACAGTTAAATTCAGTGTTTCTGAGATTTTCATTCCTGTTAAGTCAGGTTCTTTGTGACTACATTGACTTCTTGTGGACTAATGTCAACAAAAATAAAACTTGCTTGAAAGAGAGTTTCTGACATGATTGATTTTTAACTCCGAAATAACTTTATGTATATACCACTAGTGGCAATTTTTGAATTTGTATGGTTAAAAAACGACAACAACTCAGTTTATTCAAATTAGATATATGGAATAAATAAGAGGTTACAATACAAATTTGCCTTTAGTTTGAGTACAGAAATTGGGGAGTGCGGTACCCACCCACCTGACAGTATTTGATAAGTCTACTCAGAACTAAATACAGTAGTGTTGGCAATCATCTGACGACCGTGCTGCATAAATATCTCAGTGGTACACAACATGAATTGTGGCCGCAATAGCTTTATGGCAAAGTTTATGTCTTCAGAAACGAAAGAATTGAAAGAAAGCAAATGTTTCCTAACTTCATGAGATACAGCTTACTGATGAGTATCGACAAAGAAGAAACTCAGGTTAAGTCATACATCCTATTGATTTACTCTTAATGTCTAATGAATTGACTTTATTTGTCATGCGAAATATCATGTATGTATCCACGGAATTTCATCAAAAGACATTTATCCCCAAGCCAACCTATCAAACCATAAGCCCCCAAGAAAAGCACAAAGAAATTCGCCCTGCCACATATAAAGGATATATCAGAAATCACTGCAAGACTCGTCAAACCTTTAGGAATTGATGTTGCACACAAACCAACAAAATCACTTCACTCAGCTGGCTCTATGTCAACCAAAAGACTCAACAGCGAAAGAAGATAAAACCAACATCATCTACAAAATAAATTGTAACAACTGCGAAAAACACTACATTGGCCAAAGTGGACGTCCCCTTCGTCTTCGTATCCACGAACATAAGCTAGCCATCAAAAGACATGACATCCACTCCCTCATATCACTATATACAGACAACCACGGGCATCAATTCGATTGGGACAATGTTAAAATATTAGACAGAAGAAACAACAAAAATGCTAAAGAATTTTTAGAAGCTTGGCATTCCAGTGAATCATCAATCAATAGACACATCGAGATAGACAAAATTTATCAACCGATAAGAAAGAAACCTCACACACAAAGGGTCAAAGTTCAAGTCAAAGAAACAATCAGTTCCAATACAAGTAGCCTAGAAGGTGTGGAAACACACAAAAACAACCAATCACGTCCAAGGTCACCGGGAGAGATGATTAATAAACTCGTGGAGAAATCTAAAAGCTCACTTCAAATTGAAGTATGCACTGAAGATGTCGCCTAGTAGGGTGATGAAAGCTTCGCAAATTAACTATCCAGCTCAGAGAACACAACCACATCAAAATCATCCACCTGAGCTACAAATCTTCTCCATCATATCTAAATCAGTATACTAACATGAGTTCCTTAAGCTGGTGCACATATCCCGTCTTGATGATTCTGTTGTCTTGATTAGGTTTAGATTATATCGGTCGATTAATCTCATAGACTGAATTTTTTGTCTGAAATTTATTTCATAGATATTGGGAAGTCGTGACCAGCGAGGTACAACATGTCGAGTGTGAGGAAGAATACTCGCCACCGACGATATTGGCTATTGCCAGTCGCTTTATATCGTGCGTGAATTGACAGAAGTTGGAATTCATGGGCTGGCTGATCATTGGATCAGATCCCATTGACTTAATGGTCTACGAGCTCGCTCGTCTTGTAATCAGAAGGTCTTGGGTTCTAACCTCTGTGGTGGATGTGTACTGATGAAGAGTCATTCCCAAACTAGGCAGACGAAACAGCTAGCTGTCTGGCAGTACTCCCTGGTAGTTCTCCAATGGTTCATGATGAAATCCTGAAACTCATTTTCCACCTAAATATCGTATTGTTATTATTCCCTTGGGTTCCAAGTGGAACATAGGGCTTCAAAAACAAATCTCCACTTTCTTCTCTCGTCTGCTATCCTCTTCAACTGGCTGACCCCAAGACTGCCCGTAATCTCTCATCGTCTCCTACAACTCACACAATCTCTTCCATGTCACCCTCGCACCAACGACCCACTCGTCGTTTCCCATTCGTAATCAACTCGGGTGTTGGCCTGGTGCACGATGTCATTCGACGGTTTCCTCAGTGTGTGCCTAATCCATCTCCACTTTCTCTTACATATTTTTCAAAAGAATGGTTACTGAACAAAGAATACTCTCTTCGATAACTTCATCATCAGGCTCTACAGTTATATATACATTATAGTGAATGAATGAATTAGTGTTATGAACAACATTAATGTTGTTCAAATAACATCGAATCAATAATAATAGTAATATCAATGGATTACAGTTCAGTAGCATCAACATAAAATAAACTGAATATCAGAAAAATTAGGAAAGATAATATTACAAATTCATGAATTTATAGTTTCTACTGAAGGCCAGGGCAGTAGTAGGGGCTGGACTTGCTTCTTTTGAACACAGAGCACTGGTTGTTTCACGCGAATTGCTATACCCTCTGCTGTTTGGAGTATGCGGTAACTGGTTTTTTTTGGTAATTTAGTGGGCACCCGGTAGATGATAGAGAAGGATTCTTCAATGCTGGCTGGCTTTGTGGCCGGTTTGTACCAGATGGTCCAATATCGAACTGTTAATAGTTTTCATTACATCGTTACTTAGCCATACTGGGAGATGTTCCCGAATGAGTACGAGAAATCAGGTTCTCAGAGCAATGGCCAATATAACTCGCTCCACCACAAACGCAATTGAATTGGTAGATACAACTGGAAGTGGCTAATCTAGTTACTTTATCTTTCAGTCGAGGAATCATCATCGGTCGTGTTGAGTAATCGGCTCTTAGTTGGTTTGTTCCCAGTCAGAATTTTTTGTTTGCTAATTCTCTCTTCAGTACGGAACGGAGACAGCTGTTGATGAAAGTCTGCAGTGGACTGTTCGAAATGCTTCTCGTGATGCGCCCCCCCCATGTTTCTGACCCATATAGAAGAAGTGACTGACTAAGTGACTTCACAGTGGTGTTGAAAATCCGAATCTTGTTGTTTATGCTAAGGCAGAGTGCATAAGACTACTAATGATGTCTGGGTTCGACATCTTCATACGTGGTGACGTCGCATGTGGTCGAAACGATGAAATACCCCATTGGCAGATATTTACTTTTCTACAAAGCAAAAGGAAATTGAAATCGAAGTTTTTCTATCCACAAATACATTCCGAGTGTGGAGTCTCAACATTCTCAACTGGAGTCACAAGGAAGGATTTCAGTTCTCTAACAATATATGTCGTTGCTGTATTTATGAACAATTTTTGTCTGTCTGTTTTCGACATAGAACTTTGTATCGATGTTCAGCAGTTCAAGTCACCACACTCCCTCCTTGTAGCACACAAAACAAGAGAAGAAAGTAGAAGAAATGCATAATAGAGACAGTAGACAGGGATATGAGACAAAAGGAGTATTAATAATGAAGAACAAACAATATGGTTTCATTAGATATCATAAGTCATTGAAAAGACAATGGCAGCGAATAAAATTTTTTTTTCGACGAAGTCATCATCTAGGCTGTACATTCGTGTATTTATATCAAATGGATGGGAAAGTTCCAGAATAATTTCCGGTTAAGGGTTAAAGTAATAAAAATTACAATTAGGAATTAGAATGCCATAATAAACAGGGGGCGGATAAAACTCGAACAAAGTAGCATTATAATAACGAAGAAGATTGGCGTTTCTTGTCAGCTGGACGTTGAGGAAGTGCAACATTCCGTCGGATTCAGTCTCAAGTGTAAAGTCGATGTTTGGGTGGGCGTTATTGAAGATTTGAAGTAGGTTTTTTAAATCACAATTTTCATCACAAATAATGAAAGTATCATCGATGTATCTCTTGTAAAGACGGAGGTCGTTGATCGTTGATGATAAGGGGTTGTTTTCCAAGCTAGCCAAAAAGCAGTCGGCTAATAGGGGTCCTAAAAGAGAACCCATTATCTTATCTAAACTTCCTGTTTATTCATGTTATTTTAAGTTTTTCTTAATCCCTGTCTACACTACCATATTTTCATATCCACTCTTCCTGTTTATTTTGTCATTTTACTATTTCTACATATTTAATCCCTGATTGCATAAACAATTATTCATCATATTAGTTTTTTATCCAAACATCCTGTATATTTTGTTATTTCTACATTTCTAACCCCCAATTGCACAATGCCAATCTTCTTCGTTATTATAATGCTACTTTGTTCGAGTTTTATCCGCCCCCTGTTTATTATGGCATTCTAATTCCTAATAGTAATTTTTATTAATTTAACCCCTAACCAGAAATTATTCTGGAACTTTCCCATCCACTTGATATAAATACACGAATGTACAGCCTAGATGATGACTTCGTCGAAAAAAAAATTTTATTTGCTGCAATTGTCTTTTTAATAACTCATATGACCCAATGTGTATATCATAAGTCATAAGCACAAGTAGTGGATGCATCTGCACCAGCCATTGAGAACGATTTTGAGCCTTTGCACCGATTGTCTCCAGCCTTCATTGGTTTTTACCGTCCCGAGGACCCCAACCAGTCAGGAAGTCTGTTGTGGATTTGATTGACTGATGAAGCTCTTTTCCAGCCTGATCCTATGTCAGATAACATTGCCCGTCGGGCGAGGAAGATGATGGCTGGGCATGCGTACAATTCCTAATAAGAAGAGAGTTGATTAAGTTTCTTTTCCCACTTATTGAGACAAAATTTGCAAAAAAGTTAGTTAACTAAATTCTAATTGTGAAAGAAAAAGAAAAGTTCACTAATAAAACTACACAATACACACACAATCTACAAAAGTGAAGTACCTTTGTCAGCATGCCTTCAATGAAATACTCAAACTGACTAAGAAACCTACAGAGATAGACACACGCGCGCACACAAACACGCACATGAACACACAAAGAAAAAACATCTAAGAAACTACTTAAGTGGTGCACTTACATTCGCTTTCATTCTCAGTCTATAGCAATTTATGTATTCTTTTTGTTTCTAAATATACATATATATAATAATTGATAATAGTAATATAAAGTGAGAAACAAGTTGGAGTTTTATCGCGTACTTCATTGAGAAGGATTCAGACAAGGTATAACCAGTGAATATTTGAGCAACAGAAGTACACTCATTCAGTTTATATAAGTTCAGGGCTTGGTACTTACTTGACAATTTTTATCTGTAGTATTATTAAGGCTCATGTTGGTAGTGGTCTCTGGAAGCCGTAACTCATCACAAGGATTATCACAAAGAACGTCTAATATCATGGGAAGCACTTCATATCAAGTGGAATCGAAATTTCTGAATAGAAATGATGAACTTAAACAGAATTTGACTTGGTTACAACACCCCCCCCACCCCATGTAGTGATAAAATCAACACGGTTGTGATAAGTAATTTCATTATGTAAACACACAAGCTGCTTTTATATATATTTTTACACACTTATCAAATCCAACAATCTACACCTGGTATCAGTTAGAGAACCATTGAAAACCAGCAGGGAGTACTGGACAGCTGCTGTTTCATCCTAGTTTGGGAATCATCGGCAGTACGCACCCACTGGGATTCGAACCCAGGACCTTCCGGTTACAAGGCAAGCTAGCTCGTATACCATTCAGCCACTGGGACCCGATTCAATGGCTACTGAATTCTAACTTCTACCAATTCGTGATTTTAGCGCGACCCCAACTATTGTCGTTGGTGGGAAGTCCATCCACACACGTGACTTCTAATTGGACCTCACTGGTCACGACTTCTCACTAGAACTGCAGGAAGCTCCAACCTGTAGCAAGTCACTAGCGAGAAGTCGTGACCAGTGAGGTCCAATTAGAAGTCACGTGTGTGGATGGATGTCCCACCAACGACAATAGTTGGGGTCGCGCTAAAATCACGAATTGGTAGAAGTTAGAATTCATGAGCCATTGAATCGGGTCCCAGTGGCTGAATGGTATACGAGCTAGCTTGCCTTGTAACCGGAAGGTCCTGGGTTCGAATCCCAGTGGGTGCGTACTGCCGATGATTCCCAAACTAGGATGAAACAGCAGCTGTCCAGTACTCCCTGCTGGTTTTCAATGGTTCTCTAACTGATATCAGTCCGTGATCAACTCGTAAAACATAACTAATCCTTACAAACCAAACTATAGAGAATCTACACCTGGTTTTGTTATCTTTACCAATTGGTCCAATTGACCACATCGTAAAAATTACCCCATACTGATGAACGATGATTGAGTTGTTATATATATAAGCTGAGATTTTGTAAATTCTCGTTTAATAATACTACTTTGATAAAGCTATTAGTAGCATCAGCATTAAATAGCGAAACGTGAGTACAAACACCGATATCGTTTTGTTTTTCATTTATTGGGAAATACAAATACCTTTATTATAATGAATGTCATACACCCAATGCCTAAATTTTTTCAAAATGTTAGAAGTGAACTTGGTTTGGACATATATATAACAAGTTTTATTAGTTTCAACCCTGTAATGAAATGATAGATCATTCCTCCAAAGCCTCAGGATGGTCGGGAGTGGGTGCCTTGCGCTGCGGGTTGGCCACCCCTCCGCACACCTCTTGAAATGCTCCCATATGACCGGGCGTCTTACATAGCCTCTCCTGAGGAAGTCCTACTCACTGCCTTCACGTGGCGGAGGTGTTTTTCAACAAAGTGAGAGGGCGAAAGCGGATGCCCGGCGCTCTTCACCGGGTTGACTGTCCATTGGATGACAGTTTAGGGGAGATGGCTAAACCTCCAACGACTGGCGTATGAAGCTCACTGGAGCTCACCGGCAGACGTATGGACAAAGGGCTTGTTGGATTTCCTGGATGTCTGGTCCCATTCAAAAAGGCGTATGAACTGAACTCCGGTCACCGGCTGCCAATGGATAGTGGACTCCCTACTCCACTCCTACTGCCTTGTAGGTCACACTTGGTTGTGTAAAGGCTAGAGCTGCACTCTCAAACAAAAGGCCGAGCGATTCTGGGGACATCGCTCGTACCAAATTCCCATGAAACTTCATGAACTCTCTTACAAACGAAAAACCTTGCATCAGATCGCCGCGCCTGGGCAGCGATGATTCGAGATGTTCATGAAGCCGGCTCATCCTCCCGTAGGAGATAGCCGAAGTAAAGTAAGTAAGTAATCTTCACTTCTGTATACATTCAACTTATGGATGGTGTAAGATATAAATACAGTTTAGGCTGTCTACGAAATGTAATCCCCTTTTCCCCAGTAAAAGTTAGTTAACAAGACTTTCTGTAAACTGACAGTAATCTATATTCATGTATATCTATGATTCACTAATACACAGATTGATTTGTTGTTGTCTGAAGGATTTAGCCACTGAAACTGTTAACACCTAGTAACTTGTTGTGTTATAGGGAAATAGAAACACAACCTTAAATCTATTAGTAGGAATTTGCTGTCTGTCTAAAGACCTTTTGAATTACCTTTGCTTGATGATTCATTGTCTGTAAAATAATTTATTGTGAAATGGAAGACAATGGTGGTGATTAGTAATCCAAGTCATATGGGATATTCTAAGCGAGAATGGATATCCAGAGAAGTTTATTAAAGCCAAAATAGATTGCAATAGTCGTAAACATGAACCGGTAACAGTGAAGAAAAAGTCTTTATTTTTATGTCTAAAATTCAAGGGAGATAGTCCTGCGGAGATTCTGTAGCAATACTTTCCACTATGCATATCTGTTCCTATCCTTTAGTAGCCATCCAATGTTCACCCAGTAACTGAAAGATGTCTTACCTAACCTTAGCTCTTCTTCATGCATATACCATTTCAACTGTTCCTGTGGTTCAAGTTATATAGGGCGCACGATTAGGCAGCTTCGTCTACGCGTTCGAGAACATTTACCAGCTTGGTTCAGCAAGGGGGAAATTAAGTGCATGAAAAGGTCGATCCTGTCACACTTGGTCGATACTGGACATCGCATTGACGCCAACACAGCTTTCAGAGTTATCTACAAAATTCTGAAGTCGTTATCACGTACAGTTTGCTTACGTCTCCTATACATAACTGAAGATGTTGCAATAAGACCGACTTTGTGTCCAAAAGGAACTCGTTCAGACGGTGTTCCTACCGTGGCCAAACTTGGACTGATGATTCTTCTTCTCACCAAGAGTGCTTCTTCCCCTTAACCCTCTTGGGATGTTTTCTGCAGCTTTACTTATTATTACAGTTATTATTATTCGTCATAATTTATACCTTTCATTCAAATACGCTTTCAATGCTATCGAATTTTCCATTTATACTATCCGGACTTATTATTATTAGTGATAGTATCTCTTTTCTTAATATATGCCTCCACCTGTTTCATTTCCCGTATTAGTTATTTCATGATGAACTTTTCATTGTAGTCTTACTATCTCTTCTCTAATACATACTACTTTGTACTAGCTCCTCACTCATCCGACACCTTTTGTAACCTTGAACTGACTTGTAAATTTTCCTACCCTACATTCTATAAATCTATTATGACTAATGGCCACCATTGTCTCCCATTTTACTATATTTTATAATCCATTTCAACCTAGCACGTTTGTCACACAAATACGACTATTTATTTTGACACGCCATAACTAATCTGTTATTCTACGTAAAATTAGTTTATACTTAAATAGTCTGGATCATATTTTTGAACATAAATCGTGATCTACTTAATGTAAAACTGACACATGATATATGTACATTCATTAACAGTTGTTCGGTATTCTAATATCAATTCACCAGACTCTTGTAATACGTTATACAGTTTACTGTGAGTAGCTATCATTCGGTAGTACTACTAGCCAGTACAATTGGTAAGTGAACTGGTATTACTCCAAGTTTAGTCTTATGGATTAAATAATCAGTTAGTTTTAATACAGTAATTTACATCCTAGTCTGAGAATCATCGGCACTACGCACCCACCGCCACGGTTCGAACCCAGGACCTTCCGGTTACAAGGCAATCTCATTTACTATTCAGACACTGGGACTCGACTCCCCAATGACCAGCCCATGAATTCTAACTTCTTACAATTCGTGACTTTAGTACGACCACCAACCAATGTCATCAACGGGAAATCCACCCTCACTCCCAACTGGATGGACCCTACAGTGTTCATGACTTCTCACTAGAACTCCAGGAAACTCCCTCCTGTAGCAAGTCACTAGTTCCAGCGGCTGAGAATGGTCTACGAGGTAGCTAGCCTTGTAACCAGAAGGTCCTGGGTTCAAACCCCTGTCAGTGGGTGCGTACTGTCGATGATTCCCAAACTAGGATTATGAAACAGCTGTCTGGCAGTACTCCAGTGCTGGTTTTCAATGGTTCTCTAACTGTTATCAATCCGTGGTGAAACTCGAAAAATAAAGCAAATCTAATCCTTACAAACCAACCCTTTTTGAAAACAGTAATTTACAATAAATTTGAAACAACTACAATAAGTTCAGGGAATATACATTTACAATTGTTTATATTCCGTAAATTCTTAGTAAACGTTATCTTGTAGTCAAGTGGTGGATGGTGACTAGCATTGGAATCAAAGATGCACATTTCGTCCCGTTTAAGACTCATCACAGGATGTACCTGCATTCCTCAGCGCGTCAATAATGGTGTTCCCACCGAGGCTCGAACCCAGTGCCCATAGTTTCAAACGCTAAAGCGTTATCCACTAGACCACTTGAGCTACTATAGCCATTGCCTCTTGTACAACAGGTCTTATTAATTATTTAATCCAATTTTAGATTTTCTCGTCGATTGATCGAAATGAAGTCCTCAGTCTCAAGTTGACATGACGGCTTCTAGTTCAGATGGTGAGAACACCATCACTCACTCGCTCACTCACTCACTCACTGGGGAATGCAGGTATATCCGGGTGATGAGTCCCAGATAGGACGAAATGTGCATATACTGTTTAGAATCTTTTTTCTAGAGTCAATTAATTAATTGATTAATTTTCATGACATTTAATGAAAGCGAAATGATTGATTAACTTACATGACCATTTGATGAACGTTCATTTGTATTCAGTTTCATTGATTTATCTCACCATTACGCATATCAGTAAATCGGTTATATGAACTTCTTCTTACATTCAGTTGTGAAGATGGTAAATAATATGGTGCTTTGTCAGCATTTCTCTAAAAATTTTATAAAAATAAATAAATACATTATTTGGGTGTGGATATATGATTACTGCTTTTTATAAGGTTAAGTGTTATTCCATTATGGGTAAAATTTTATTTTGATAACGTTTCACAGTGTTATACAGTAATATTTACTAATGATGACTACGGTTCGAACACAATTTATTACTGCAGCTCATAATCTCATATCAAGGCACTACTCACACAACTTTCTAACTTTTATATAATTCCATTATTTTTCATCACTTGACTTGATGATTGGTAGTAGTAATTTCCTCCATATTTCCGGTATGAGTGATGAGTCATTCTTATTGCACATGTTGGATGTAGACTCGATGAACCAGGTTTCAGTAATCAACTTCTCTCGCTCTCCACCTACTTATATTACTTCATATGAACTGTGATCAAGATTTGACCGGATAGTTGCAAAATAATTGAGCGCCGAGTGAGAAGTAGACATTTGTAAAAAATTATATTTGTAAAATCTCAGCGAAATTGAAATGATTAATTCCAACGTTTCGTTCGACAATCTGGTCTGAATTTCTTCAGGGAAATTAATCGAAATTAACAAAACAGAGGTTTATGTATAAAAGGAACATCACTTGTTTTCAAAAACTTTGTCTAATCATGAGTCATTAAACAGGCATCAACATGTATAATAAACAAAATTGCATGAACTGTGATCAAACATTTGACCTCAGACATACAATTTTGTTTACTAATTTTGAAAGTCTGATATGATTCTAATTTGCCTTTACTGGCTATTGTATGCTTAAATTAATGGATTTATAATTGTAGAGCCTGAAGAAGAATTTATTGAAAACAATTGTTCGCTCTTAATATTTTGTTATGTATAAACCCCTGTTATGTTAATTTCGATTAATTTCCCTGAAGGAGTTCAGACCAGATTGCCGAAAGAAACGTTGGAATTAATCATTTTAATTTCGCTGAGATTTTACAAATATAATTCCGAGTTGATCACGGACTGATATCAGTCCGTGATCAACTCGTAAAACATAACTAATCTTTACAAACCAAACTATAGAAAATATAATTCCATAAATACCGATATCACTTTTGAAAATTTTAACCCTCCCCCATCCCCATATTGTGTGGTTGTGTGTTAATGCATGCGTGCAGTGCAATTGCTGAGCTTCTTTTTTTTCTAAATTACTTATCTTCTCGGGGTCAACCATTCTAACCTTAGCTAAATTCTTATGTTCTGACAATCTGACTACCCCCAACCTACTAGTTTGACCCATACAGTTGAACTCACTCACAGTCATTGCAGCGTATTTTGTAAATTATATTATTTTGTCTAATTGGGTCAACCGTCAGGGTCCTTTAACCTACAGAGCTTGTCTATGCCTGAGTAAGTTTGTAGGTTTAAATGCCACTCTAATTCCTGCTTGTTCATCGAGTCCATACTTAACACATGTGCAATAGGAATGAATCATCATTCATACCGGAAATATGAAAAATACTACAACCAATCATCAAGTCAAGCGATGGAAAATAGTGGAACCATCATATAAAAGAAGTTAGAAAGTTGTGTGAGTTGTGCCATGATATGAGATTATGAACAATGATAAATTGTGCTCGAAACGTGGTCATCAGTAGTAAATATTACTGTATAACAACACTGTTAGACTTTATCAAAATAAATTTTACCCATAATGGAATTATACTCTACTACAGTGCACAAATTCTATTCTTATATCAAGGTTAAGTGTAACCTGTTTTTTATCAAAATTTAGAGTTAATCACTTTATGCCATACGATACGTCTGTGTTGTTTCACCGATTAATGTTTGCACCTCAAGTGGTAAGGGTTGTAGTATTTTAAGTATAAAAGAAACCGCGTTCAGCGAAGAGTTACACTCCTCTTTTCGACGGTGAATTCATTCACTTAGCTGTACAGTGGCTTTCATATATAATTATCTTTCGTAACTGTGTGTACATTAGGCTTGTCAGACAAGAACAAAAATGTAGTAGGGTTACTGTTTACGTCATCAAAAATGTTACAAAAATATGTGAAGGATAATCAGATTGTAACTAGGGAGGAGGAGTGAAGATCAGTAAGTACGTCTTTTTATTCTTTTTATTCCTTTACGTTCCTAGTGGAACATAGGCAGGGCTTCAAGCTACAGGCTTGAAGTTTCAGTAGCAGTGGCGTTTATTTTTACGGGATGGGGTTGCTGCTGGCCTCATGCCCAACCTTCCCTCTTTGCCAATCCTATTACTGGCATAGCGAGGTTAAAGAGTGCGTCGGCCCGAGATCGAAACCCGGACCACCTGCATGGCTGGCGAGAATTCTGCCGCTGTGCCACCGACGCACTGACAAAGTACTGACAAAGGTTATGTTACATGAAAGACATCCAGAAAAATAGGATGTTAATGAAAGAGCATAGAGACAAGTGTCCAAAATAAATTATGTAATAGGTAGAAAGGGTAAATAAACGGTTAGTTAAGAGAAAGAATATTACTAAAATGTCATACAAAAATTCAAAAATAGTATTAGTAGTAAAGTAGACAAGTTTGGAATTATACTCAAAGTAGAAGGAGGGGATTGAGAAGTTTCTTCTGTGTACATAAATCTGGGTTTTCCATCCGGATCACTATGCAAAGTGTACGAAAGCTTACCGTTTTCCGGAGGCTTTTTTGACTTTGTAGATGACTTTGAATGAATTCCGCTCATATATTGAGTGATCAGTGTTAAATATTTTATTTTTTTTTATTTTTGGTTACAGCTTGATGCCACACCGTATTTTCAGTACAGATATGGAATTTTCAGCATAGATATCTGTAGCCCAAATTTTGCAGGCCGACCATAGATATCGGGTGTGCGTCGGCAGGGGATCGAACCTCGGACCATGTGCATGGTCGGCGAGCATCCTAACCACTGTGCCACCGACACACATATATATATACATATATATATATACTTGTTGACTGACTTATACGAGAATTCACATGCAGTCATATAAAAGTGCTTGGTTCAGAGTAAGAGCAATCTGCTCGGTTGAATGTCTTGATGAAGAACTTAACAATATTAAACGGTTGCTGACTAAAAACGGTTATCCATAAAAGTTCATTGATAAGAATATCAATCAAAAATCAAGGCAGACCAAGGTACCAACAGTTACTAAAAAGGCCTTATTCTTACAAATTCAGTTCCTCGCGGACAACATCAACGAGATACTAACACAACGCCTTAGGAATGCGGCGGTAAAAAGAGCATTCCCTGCTGATGAATTACACTGTGTCTTCAAAACCAACCCTATTTTGCGTTCGGAAGTGAAAGTCAAACTGCCTAATCTCGCCTCTTCCATGTGTATCTACCAATTTAACTGCTCTTGTGGAATGAGCCAGTTACATAGGACGTATAATTAGGTGCATTTCTCGTCGGATTTCCGAACATCACCCTGCATAGTGGTTAAGTAAAGGACAAACAAAATCTATTCGTAGCGCTATTCTATCTCATCTTGTGGATACAGAACACAAGATTGATGTCAACGAGGCGGCTTTCAAAGTCATTTACCGCATACCAACAAATCTTAACTTCACCTTAAGAGTTCGTCTACTATATATTGTTGAGGCTGGCTGTTGGGATCCACATTAACAAGCCTAATTTATGTGTCCAAAAGAAGCTAGTTCAGACATTGTCCTTACCCCACTGGCCATCTAGGTTCGAATGATCCTAAACTATTTGCAGAAATTTCCCTAATTTTAGTTGATATTCTATTTGCTATTATATCTTTATTATTATTATAACTTATGCATCTTTAATGAACTGTAATTCCATTGATCTTACTTAACAAATCGATATTATTTAAAAAAACACACATTGTTATTGACTACTATTCTAGAATATTCTATGTATATAAGCATATATATATATAATTGTAGAGCCAGAAGAGGAAATTATCGAAAAGGATATTCTTTGCTCAATTATTTTGTGTTTTATAAAAGAAAAGGTGTTAAGCGAAGAGTTACACTCCTCTTATCCACGATATCATTCTCAAATTGTACACTATATATATATATAGTAGATTATCTTAGCAACAAAAGCAATAATTCCCAAGATTTATCCTTAGAATTGTAAATTTTAGATAACAAATTTCGTTAATCGGCTAGAAACTAAAGTGAGATTGAATAAGCAAGTCGGGATTGAGTAAAGCTCAACTAAAATTAAAATTGAAAAATTCAAGTTTACAACAGTGGTAATAAGGGGTAGAGATTTAATACAGGGTGGGGGGAAGAAAATATTATACAATTAAGAAACAAACAAGCCAGAAAAAGACGAAACAGAAAATATTACGTATTTAGTGTGAAGATAGATCAGGTCCCTTGTAGATTGTATTCTGGTCTTACGAAGCGTTTGCTATCCAAAAATACCATCGAACACTTACCCACAGTTATGGTTTTATAAAGGAGAAAAAAGATCCCCCCAACCACTACAGCTCTATCCTGGAACACCTGATCGAATCTGGACACCAAGCTAATTCACAAAGGAACAACTTCAAAGTTATCTACAGAATACATGGGAATCTCGCCAAAAGAGTATGAATCAAACTTCTTCAAACAGAGCAGAAGCAATGGCAATTCACATATTAAAACCTGAACTCTGCATACAAAAGAGGAAGTTTGTTCAGTCATTAAATCTACAATGGACCTTATCTATCTTGACAACTTTTTGCTTCGTCATTTTCTTCCAGTTATAATTAAACAATGCTGTGATGTTTGAGTTATGTTACCGAGTTGATTTAGCTTTTTGACCCTCCTTTATTTGAATTATAGTAAGCATACAGAGAGACAAATGACTCATCCTATGAGCAGGTGCTAACTGGTATATGTGTTTCATAAATTTTTGTGAAAATTCATTCTGAATTTTATAATGAGTATCTTTGACCAGTTGAAACTTATCTTACGGGGTCGTACTCACAGTAAGTTCAGAGACTATTGGTTTGTATATTTCTTAATTGTGTGATTTAT